AACCAGTCCTTACACGTTCTTGAGTATATGAGAAAGTATATCCCAAACTTCTAATATAAAAACAACAAGTTTGGCCGACTTTCTCTAAAGTGGCACATGCCCCGCAGTGATTGGGCAGTGCGCGCATCTGTCGTAGAATGAACATAACTTTTTACTCCGATATAATTTTAACGAGAGGTTTGTTTTGCTGGAAACTAGACTCAAATACCTTCAATTGGATAGGTAGTAGGCCCTCCTACTCATTATATATTATGAGATATGCTCGTGAAAATTCAGATGAGAAATGACATAATTTGTAGTATTCCTCCACAATGAACCTTTAAACTTTAATCTTTTCTTTAATGATCTCTTTGACCTAAAACATTTTTTGAACCCTTCAAATGACTAAATATAAGGGTTACATGGTATGCTTAACCATTTTCAATTATATACCTCCCCCGATATCACATCTATGCATTGGTGTTTACGAGTCGCAAATGTATTTTAAGTTACGGGATATTACATTATCCCCCCCTTTGGCTCATTCGTCCTCGAATGAATTTTAAAAAAAATTGGCAGAGTTTCCTTTGTAAACAGGCCTATCCAAAACTTGTCATCCAACAAAAATATACACACAATGCTTCACAGAGCATCACCACGTAATAATATGCAACAGATATTCACTAGGCTCTACTTGGCCTTATACGAATTGAAACTACACTAACTAATATAATATACCTTATAATGTGGATGTTTCAACTCTGAGGAACATGTGGTGTCTGTATCAAGTACCTGAACATATAACATATAATAAAACAGTACTACAAAGTACAGGTAAAACAGATACTCAAATGAGAGGACTTATGACTTTAAGAACCTTTGTGTGGCTACTGAAATAAGTGGGGATACTTGGCCCTCATGTCAGCCTCTACTTCCCATGTGGCTTCTTCTATATTTTGACTTCTCCAAAGTACCTTGACTGATGCTACGTCTTTTGTCCTCAACTTTCTGACCTGTCGGTCCAATATTGCCACTTGGACTTCCTCATAAGATAAGTGTTCTGAGAATTCCATACCTTCTATGGGAATAACCTGTGTAGTATATCCCAAGCATTTGCGTAACATCGACATATGGAAGACCGGGTGTACTGCAGCTAACTCTCGAGGAAAATCCACCTCATAGGCTACCTGGCCAACTCTACGTATAACTTTATATGGCCCAATATACCTGGGGCTTAACTTACCTTTCCTCTCAAATCTCGTAACGCCCTTTATAGGGGATACCTTCAAGAATACCCAGTCATCAACTTGGAACTCTATGTCTCTACGGCGTACGTCTGCATATGATTTTTGTCGGCTCTGAGCCATTTTCAGTCGCTCTTTTATCAACTTCACTTTTTCAATGGCTTGGTGAATAAGGTCTGGTCCTAATATTTGATTTTCACTTACTTCAAACCAACCAATAGGCGATCTGCACCGACACCCATAGAGGGCTTCAAATGGAGCCATGCCAATGTTTGAATGATAACTATTATTATAGGCAAATTCTATCAAGGGCATATCATCATCCCAATTACCTTTAAAGTCTAAAACACATACTCTCAACATATCTTCGAGTGTTTGAATAGTGCATTCTTCTTGGCCGTCTATTTGCAGGTGAAATGCAGTGCTAAGGTTCACCTGTGTGCCCAAACTCTTCTGCAATGATATCCAGAAATGTGTCGTAAATTGGGTACCCCTATCTGAAATAATAGATAGTGGAGTCCCATGCAAGCGAACAACTTCCCTGACATATAGCTTGGCATATTCTTCGGCTGTGCTACTGGATTTAACTGGCAAGAAGTGTGCTGATTTCGTCAACCGATCAATGATCACCCAAATGGAATCATGTATCTTAAAAGAGAAAGGCAAACCTGTAATGAAATCCATATTAATAGCCTCCCATTTACATATTGGAATGCCCATTGTCTGAGCTAGGCCACCGGGCCTCTGATGTTTTGCTTTAACTTGTTGGCAATTGGAGCATTGTGCCACGTATTCCGCAATATTCATTTTCATGTCATTCCACCAGTAGACCTCCTTAAGGTCATGATACATCTTTGTGGAGCCTGGATGAATTGAGTATCGGGAACAATGTGCTTCATCCATGATTTTCTGCCTTAACCCATCTATATTTGGAACACACAGTCTGCCTTGGCATGTCAAGGTTCCATCTTCTGCTAAATTGAATGCAGTAATTCAGTGCTCATGAATCCCTTCTCGATACTGTAGAAATATTGGATCGTCATACTATTTCTCTTTCACCAATGCCACTAATGATGATTCGGCAGTATTCTGCACGACTACGCCTCCATCTTCGGCTTCAAGAAGTTGGACTCCCAAGCTGGCTAATTTTTGAACATCTCGCACTACTTCCTGTTGTACACATTGTAAATAAACTAGACTTCCCATAGATAGTCGACTAAGAGCATCTGCTACCACGTTAGCTTTACCTAGGTGGTAGAGGATGTTCACATCATAATCCTTCAACAACTCTAACCAGCTTCTCTGCCTGATACTCAAATCTTTTTGCTTGAAAAGATATTGGAGACTCTTATGATCTGTAAAAATATCAACATGTACCCCATACAAATAGTGTCACCAAATCTTAAGCACAAATACCACTGTAGCAAGCTCCAAATCATGAGTGGGGTAGTTTTGTTCATGTTCCTTCAATTGTCGAGAAGAGTATGCTATCACCTTCCCTTGTTGCATTAAGAAGCACCTTAGGCCAATGCCTGAAGCATCACAATAAACTACATACCCTTCTATACCCTCTGGTAAGGTCAATATTGGCGCCTTAGTCAATCTATCTTTCAGCTCTTGGAAGCTTTTCTCACACACATCGGACCACTGGAACTTCACTGCCTTTTGCGTCAACTTGGTCAATGGTGCAGAAATAGACGAGAATCCCTCTACTAACCTGCGGTAATATCCAGCAAGTTTCAAGAAACTACGCACCTCCGTTGGAGTAGTAGGTCGAGGCCAACTCTTTACAGCCTCAATCTTTTGGGAGTCTACTCTAATGCCTTCACTAGAGACCACATGGCCAAGAAAAGCCACAAAATTCATCCAGAATTCACATTTCGAGAACTTGGCATATAGTTGGTGCTCTTTGAGTGATTGTAGGGCAGCTCTCAAGTGATTTGCATTTTCTCTAGCATCACGTGAATATATCAAGATGTCATCTATAAATACAATCACATACATATCAAGAAAGGGTTTGAAAACCCTATTCATCATATCCATAAAGGCTGCTGGAGCATTTGTTAGTCCAAATGACATAACAAGGAACTCAAAGTGTCCATATCTCATTCGGAAGGCTGTTTTGGGAATATCTACTTCTTGAATCTTCAGCTGATGATATCCGGATCTCAAGTCAATCTTTGAAAAGCATTTAGCTCCTTGCAATTGATCAAATAGATCATCTATCCTTGGAAGGGGATATTTGTTCTTTATTGTCACTTTATTAAGCTGTCTGTAATCTATACACATCTTCATCGTTCCATCCTTCTTGCGTACAAATACTACTAGATATTCTAGGGCAAATGAAACCTTTGTTAAGAAAATCTTTCAGTTGCTCCTTTAGCTCTTTCAATTCTGCTGGCGCCATTCAATAAGGCGGAATGGATATAGGTTGGGTATCGGGATCTACGTCAATACCAAAATCAATCTCCCTAATTGGAGGTACTTCAGGAAGTTCGTTAGGAAACACATCTAGATATTCATTCACAACGGGCACAGAGTGAAGAGTCGCCATTTGTTTCTCAGATTGAAGGTCTCTTACATGGACAAGGTGATATAAACACCCTTTGTCTATAAACTTATGTGCCTTAAGATAGGAAACAAGCCTTCCTTTAGGCATCATAGCATTACCCTTCCACTCTACGACTGGCTCACCCCGGAAATGGAATCGAGCAACTTTGGCTCAGCAATCAACTGTTGCATAACAAGATGACAACCAATCCATGCCCATAATGACATCAAAATCAACCATTTCTAGCTCTATCAAATTTGCCAATGTGTCACGGCCACATATTGTTACTAGGCACCCGTAATAGATCCTTCTAGTTATAACAGAGTCTCCTACGGGAGTCGATACTGCAAATGGCTCATGTAATAACTCTGGTTCTACTCCAAATTTCTTAGCAACGAATGGAGTAACATATGATAGGGTAGAACCTGGGTCTATCAATCCATATACATCATAAGAGAAAATAGATAAGGTACTTGTAACCACATCTGGGGATGCCTCTGAATCCTGATGACCTACTAGTGCATACATCCGATTTGGGCCAACTCCAGAACCAAATCCTCTACCCCTGCCTGTACCTCTCATTGCTGGTGGTTGAGGGACACGTGATGAAGAAGGCATTGATGATGAGGATGCTCCTGTAGATCCAGTATATTGTGGCCTATCACTTCTACCCTCCACTCGAAGCTATGGACAATCATGTATCTTATGACCCTCAACTACACAGCCATAGCATGCGGTAGATCCATATCGACACTTTCCCAAGTGAGATCGGCCACAGTGCCTGCAAGTAGGTCGAGGCGGTAGTCCTCGACTAGCACTTCTCTGATAGTGGGGATTAGGTGCCCTCAAGGTCTTAGTCTGCTCCTGCCTGAGTCTCAATGACTGAGCTGGGGCACTACAAGTTGAGCGGTGTAGTGATTGAGCATGTTTGGGAAGACCTCTACTGGAGTAAGCTCTAGCATCTCCCTGAAATATTCCAGCACTCCTAGCCCTCTTATTTTGTTCCCTATCTCTCTCAGTCCTACGATATTGTATGCGGTCTTCTATTTGTTGAGCATGTGTCATAAGGCTTGCAATATCCATATCCCGATTTAATGCAGCAACGGTGTAAAAGCCAATCAAATGATCCCCAAGTCCACCAACGAAGCGAGGCATCCTTGCATTTTGGGTGCTAACCATCTCAGGAGCAAATCTAGCCAACTGAGTGAATCGCATGCAATACTCCCTAACGCTAAGTTTATTCTGTCGAAAGTTTAAAAATTTATCAACCCTCGCTTCCCTAAGCTCTAGTGGAAGAAAGTGCTCCATAAAGGCATTAGAGAACTCCTTCCAAACTGTTGGAGGAGCATTTTATCCCCTAGAGTCCACCCAAATCTCGTACCAAGCAATGGAGATATCTTTCAGCTGATAGGAGGCTAATTCAATTGCCTTAGTTTCAGAGATATGCATGACCCTAAGAATTCTGTTGATCTCATCTATAAACCGTTGTGGGTCCTCTGTCACCCTAGCTCCTGTGAATACTGGGGGATTCATATGGAGCAAATCACGTACTCTGGATCCAGCTGCCTCTTCCTAAACCGTACTAGGTGTTGTTGCATTTTGTCTTTGGACCTGAGCAGCTACCAACTGAGTGAGCAACTGTATTGCCCCTCTAAGATCTTGCTCTGAGGCACCTGGCGGCGGTACAGGTGGTAAATGAACTACCGTTGGTACTACTGGAGGTGTAGGAACTCCTGTAGCGCCTTCTGTCATGGGAATCTGAGGACCTAGAAGCATAGGACATGGCAAGCTTTGCTGACCACTGGTCTGATCACGTACTAGTTGGGACTGCTCTAAAATGGATGCCTCCTGAGTAGTACAAGCAATGGACCTCGAACCTTCTTTATCCTTGTCCGTACTAGACATGATCTGAATCCCAAATGAAAAAAGAGTTTGAGTCAGAATTAACTTTCTATGACTTAGCTGTATCGCACGATCTAGATTATGAAAGGAGGTCAAATTCCTAAATGCCCATGTAGTCCCTAAATTATAAATATGGCACGCAACACATTTATAAGAAAGGTCCTACTAGACACGGCTTCATAGACTCCATGGGACACTTAAACCTTGTGCTCTGATACCAAGTTTGTCACACCCCTAACTAGAAAGGGGCAGAAATCAAGGATATACACAAGCACCTGCTAAATATCTTACTAATCTCATGCCAAAGATGAAGATTCATAAGCAGTGGAACCTATATGAAGACATATACTAAAACATAGATAACAAAAGTACCCGTTGGGCTACTTTACAATGGAAACAAGACTAAGTCTACGAAGCCTCTAAAGAGTATGCCTCTGAGAATCTGATAACTAGTCGGGACAGGGCCCCGATATATCCATTCTGATATATGTACATACGTAGCAAAATATAGGCTCTAAATATCTGATAGCTCCAGGTAGAGGTGGAGCTTACCAACTGCTAAACTAGAAGTCTCTAGTCTACTGAAAATGCTTATTGCCTGAGCACCTGAACCTGTAGTGATACAAATAAAATGTCAAAATAATAGGGACGTCAGTACATACAAAACATATACTGGTATGTAAAGCAAACTGAATAACAAGAAGACATCAAATATCATGATAGGCAAATCTGAGGATGTGTATGTTGGAGACATAATCCGTAACTGGAATTGTGACCAACCTCAAGGGTCATCATTGAACGTTTCATGGCTTAGTCATTTATATTTATATAATCCCTATAATTTGCCTAAGTGATATCTTTACTTCATTACCCTAAGTGATATATTTACTTCATTATATCGCTTATTTGCTCTTTGTAAATCTAACTATCAGGGAATCACATGATGACCTACTAACGGCGATTAGTGAACCCTATATGGAATATGTAGCCCAATGTCACGACCACGCGTGAAATCTCATAGTCTGGTAACAAGGTCTATCAAGGTACGCCCCCAGGGCTCCTGTATGGTCTGTCTGCATGCCTGTATCAGTCAGGTGAATCCACGACGGGAACTTCCAGCTGACTATATCTGAATTATGTGCACTAAGTAGCGTCGCACGTAGTAGACCTAAATATACCCACCCTACGCTGCAGAGTAGTCTCTAATCTCAAATGCTTGCAATTATTTATAATAATTAATTCGTTAATCACATAGCTCGTGATACGATTCGTGATTACATTCTTTAGCTTGAAAATCATATATCTTGTGACCTATGCACTTACGAACAGTTTGTGGCTCACTGCTTTCTTTAAATTTATGCAACATGTACACCGCTAACTTCTAAGAGTTCCAACTGTAGACAAATGTAGTTGTGTCAAACATATTTCTTCCTTGAAGAGTACTATAACTCTATAGGTTTAGGACTCAACCTGAGAGGGTTTATAAAATAGGATAACTTTCTTTCAAGTACCATAGAATCTATAGTGACATTTATCAGAAGACATGCGAGTTTAGGTCGTGCCTTAAGGGTAAAAGAGATTTCAGCTTCACATACCTTAATTCAAAACTTACTATCTTATGTCGTCAAACTCCTTTGCTGACAACTTTATCGATAACATCAAATCATAAAAAGATAGTATAAGAAACTAATCAAGAGTCACAACCATGCCAAAAACACAATAATAGTTCGGGAGCGACAATCTCAACAATTACCATAGATGAGTGGTGTATCACCACACCCTTCTCTTTCTCTACTTTTCAAGTAGGCTTATGACTTATTTACATTTTCAGTATTACTCCTCATCCTTTAACCATAAAGAACTAGCCCCCTTAATCATCCACACTTAACATAAAAGTAAAACTCATGGCCTCAGATCACCACCCCACCAGTTCCTTGTTAACGATGCCAAATTCCTTTATAAGCTAATATTTTAACTTGGTAGAGAACTAATGCAATAAATTAAAATAATAGGAGCTCATATAACCAGCTACAACATATTCCTAGTGACTTAGGAATTTCATCAAACACTTGGTGAGCGACAAAGTTTCAAGAACTATAATAGTTGCGTTCTCTATACCTCACCTTCTGTTTTAATGTAACCAGCTTACCTCCCAATACAATACCATTGACCCCTCATTTGGTCAAAACAATAGCCAACACAACCTTCTACAAACTCCCTCCTCACCAAAACATCAAATACAATGGGTAAAACATGGACTCACAGCTTCCTATCACCGTCCCGTGAGTCCTACCCACAAATTATACTTAAAGCATCCTTGGAATACAATTTATGAAGATAGAAGAGGATTCATACCTATATATCAAAGAAAAGCAGCCCCTTCCCTTCTTTATTCTCCAAGAACAATACTTTTCCTTCAAGAAAAGATTTAGCTAAGTATATCTATAGGTCTATGGAGAGGAAGACACTTGATTCTTGAAGAAACCAACTTACCTTAAGCTTTGGTGGATTGAAGATGAGAAAATCTTGAAGAAATAAGTTGAAACCAGTCCTTACACGTTCTTGAGTATATGAGAAAGTATAGTTCTAATATAAAAACTAAAAACAACAAGTTTGGCCGACTTTCTCTAAAGTGCCACATGTCCCGCAGTGATTAGGCAGAGCGCGCGTCTGTCGTAGAATGAACATAACTTTTTACTCCGATATCGTTTTAATGAGAAATTTGTTTTGCTGGAAACTAGACTCAAATACCTTCAATTGGATAGGTAGTAGGCCCTCCAACTTGTTATATATTAGGAGATATGCTCGTTAAAAGTCAGATGAGAAATGAGATCATTTGTGGTATTCCTCCACAATGAACCTTTAAACTTTAATCTTTTCTTTAATGATCTCTTTGACCTAAATTATTTTTTAACCCTTCAAATGAATAAATATAAGGGTTACATGGTTTGCTTAACCATTTTCAATGATATACCTCCCCCGATATCACATCTATGCATTGGTGTTTACGAGTCACAAATGTATTTTAAGTTACGGTATATTACAGTTACTTTAGAATGTGTATAGATTACCGTCAGTTGAACAAGGTTACCAACAAGAATAAGTATCCTCTTCCGAGAATTGATGATCTATTTGATCAACTTCAGGGTGCTTCTTGTTTTTCTAAGATAGACTTCAGATCAAGCTACCATCAGTTGAAAGTAGGGGAATGTGATATTCCAAAGACAACTTTCAGGACCCATTATGGTCATTATGAGTTCCTAGTTATGTCCTTTGGTTTGACCAATGCTCCAGCAGCATTCATGGACCTTATGAACAGAGTATTCTAGCCTTATTCAAATATGTTTGTTATTGTATTAATTGATGACATTCTAATCTATTCAAGGAATGAGGAAGATCATGATAGTCATCTCAGAATAGTTCTCTTAACTCTAAAGGATAAGGAATTATATGCTAAGTTCTCTTAGTGTGAGTTCTGGTCTGGCTTGAGTCTGTGGCATTGTTAGTCCATATTGTTTCCAGTGATGGAATTAGAATTGATACTCAGAAAATAGAGGCAATACATAATTGGCCTAGACCCACATCTCCAACTGATATTAGGAGTTTAATTTCTCGGGATTGGTTGGCTATTATAGAAGATTCGTCGAGAGATTTTCATCTATTTCATCTCCTTTGACTAAGTTAACTCGGAAAACAGTTAAGTGTTAATGGTCGGA